GTGTGTGTGTGTGTGTGTGTGTGTGTGTGTGTGTGTGTGTGTGTGTGTGTGATAACTCTGAGGAGCCTATCTCCTAAGGTGGGGCACATCCTGCTTTTAAGCTCCTGGAAGTGGAGGGCAGATTTTGGGTGGGCAGAGGGTAAGGACATAAGAGGCAGCCTGGGGGACTCCTTGTGGTCACAGAAAGCTGCAGCAATGGCTGATGTTAGTTAGGGGCAGGGCTCTAGAGATGTCATCCAGCCCAGGCCGGGGCCTCTTACTCCTGGGAGCAGAGGTTGTACGTGTGCTGTGTGTGGATGAGTGAGAACCCCTAGCCTCTAGCCTAGCCCATCCCCACAACTGTTTGCTCCACTGCATCTTCCACTCCACATCTCTCTTCTCTTTCTGTCTGTCTGGGAAACAGACAAAACAGATTGAGGAGGAGGAGTCCTGTGCTCTGGCCTTTGCTGCAGGGTCCTGTTGCTCTGAAGCTGCAGAGTCCTCTTTGGGACTTAGTTCCCAGCACCAACCCCTGTACTCTGCCTGAGGTTCACTGTGCAGGCTGGGCAGCGCTCGGAACGTGGGGAAAGGCTGGCTGACGTGAGGGCCAGAGTGTGGGCCCACCGTTCTGTTTTGAGCACGTTTTTCAGAAGAATCACCGTTGTCAAGTTGCCCCCTGTTCTGTGCATGCCGGCAGCTCACCTTGGGTTGTTTATGATGTGTTTTGCTGGTGTCTCTCTTCTTGTTTACGCTGCCAGGATAGATATGATTGTGGGCCCCCCACCCCCTTCAACTCCCCGGCACAAGAAGTACCCTACCAAAGGACCCACGGCCCCTTCGAGAGAGTCACCCCAGTACTCACCTAGGTTAGGATGCACTGCCTCCTCCCGACCTGTCTGTGAATGGCCAGCCCCTTTGCTCTAGGCCGCATGATGGCAGCACCTTGCACTTTTCTTTCCACAAGGCAGGGGACATTCAGGTTCTCTCTCTTCCTAAAGGGAACGTTAGGGAAAAGGATACCCCCTTGCCAGGGCTGGTACGTAGGGCCCCTAGTCCTCCATCTACAGGGATTGCCTTGCCATGGATTTCTCCATGACATCTGCTGAGGCCACTGAAGGAGATGACCTCAGTGGCCATGACAAAGACCAGCTCAGGTCCTTCACACCTGCCCATTACTGGGGTGACCACCATGGTCCTGACCTTGGCTCTGTGTAGATTAAAGCAGATGGGGGTGCTTCCCTGGGCTTCTTTCTTAGGTGTGAGGTGTACCTGCCTGAAGAATAAATGAAGTCTGGGGGTATAGCTTAGTGGTAAGGCACTAAGTCTGTGCTTACCCAGCATAGGGCCTTATACATGCCAGATATGTGTGTGGCCCTAGGGGGCCAATTCTCATCCTTGCAGGGGGCCAGAAATAAATGGGAAAATCCCCACCGTACACCCAGCACCAAACTGTCTCTCTCAGTCCTGGTGTTATTTCTAGTTGCCACCACCAATCATTGATGTCATTGATAAGAAAGATGGGAGCCCACCTCAGCTGATTGACAGGTGGCAGGCTGAGGTCAGGGAACAGTCAGATGTCAAAAGCCAGCTCTGATGTGGTTATTTCTGGCTACCCTGGAACTACTCACATAATTCCCTGTCTCCCCCTGGCAGGCCTGATTGTCCAGGAAAAGTGAAGCTCTATAGGAGCAGGCCCAGGGAGGGCAGACAGACACTTCCCAGTCTGTCAGCTGGAGACAGAAGAGCTCCAGAAAGCTCAGAAAGTTTGGGACATTGGAACTGGCAGGCATAGCATCTGTCCACTCCTTGAGCTAGGGATACTGCCCATGAGGTCAGAGGTCAATGTGATGAGCATATCAGTCCATGAGAGAAGGATCCTGGGGGAACAGGTAGAGAGCAGTTCTTAGCCAGATGACATCCAGACAATAAGTGGTTGGTCCATGATACTATCTGCCAATAAAACTGAGGCACATTTAGTCCCCTGAGTCTTGCCGACAGTCATGGCCGCTGGCCAGGCAGGCCACGGACTGAGAAAGCCCTGCATATCTCAGACTCCCCTCAGCCTCCTCCTATGTTTCAGCTAGGTCACACACACACACACACACACACACACACACACACACACACACACACACGACAGGTCTTAAAACACCATTGGCACTTGTCACCCAAGACGTGAGAAGCACCTGGGGATTTGACTCTGATGCCCCAGCCTGAACCCCGGGAAGGAAGTGGTACAAGGTCCTTAGAGGACTCTTGTCTGGCCACCTTGAAGCAACTCAAGGTCCACCCCCGAGATCCACCAGGCAGATGGTCCGTCATGTGGCAGGGGTGAAGGGGTTGCGCATCTGTGCCTGGACCATGTGGACATTGGAACATCAGGGAACCCGTTCCCTTGCCATTGTCACTGACATCTGCTTGGAGCCAGAAGGTCCCTCCTGCCATCCCTCCCACCCTCTTTTGCATGAGCCCAGCATGAGCCCAGTGGAGCATGCAGAGGCTGCCCCTGGCTGATACAGTCCCGAGCCTTCCTCTGGGGTTGCCACAAAAACAGGTAGGGCCCCCACCCCCACCCCAGTCGGCAGAAAGTGGAGGGGAACCTGCTGACATGTACCCAGTGGAGTGTGCTTTGTGTGGGGAGCTCCACGGCTCAGCTTGAACGGCCTTGCTTAGCCACACTCTTGTGCAGTGGGCTCATAGGCTCTACACAGGTCCTTTGTTTTCAAGCGGCCCACAGTTCCCCAGCCCATGTTCGCTCTCATGACGCCCACCAGCCCTGTCATAACATGCCACGGGTACGCTGGTGTCACACAGGGCAGATAGGGACCCCAGTCCTCCAAGGACAAAGGAATCCTTCCATTCTTGTTGGTGTAATGGCTTCACTACTGATCATCTCAGTTGAACTTCTCGTCTTGCCCAACACTTACACATGCACACCCTCACTCACGTGGGTGTGAGCGCACATACATCACACATGCGTGCACACATCCCCCCCCCCAATAATACCTGTTGGCAGCACTCGTCTCTGCCCTGGTTGTGCTTTGGCAGTTTCCTACGTGGCCCTTGTTTCCTTCTCCTTGTCCTGATGCATGGAGTTAACACACTCACGGCCTCCCTGCTTCTGTTGTCCTTGCTGAAGACATTTAACACTGTCCCTGTCATACCCGTCGGGGTCCGAGGAACTCCGTGGCACATTAACGTGGGAGTAAAGCTGGCAGGGGTGGGCGTTTGGGTAAAGACACAGCCTCTCCTAACCTGGTCCCTCAGCTGGATGTCCACCAACAGCCTCTCATCGCCTGGGCCTCAGGTGGCTGTGAGACCAGTGAGTCAAGGCCTGGGAAGAGCTATGAGGCAGGACTGATGGGGGTGGAGGCATGCTAGGGAGGAGCTGGGAGTGGGCCCCGGGGGAGATAGTTCTCTTTACTCCTTGTTAATGTGCCAGATCCCACGGGAATGGAACAGATAGGAAACAGGACCCCAAGGCGTCAGGAGGCAGCCTGAGATCACGAGGCACCAGTGTCCATCTGCCTGGCACCTACTGCCCCCCGGTCGGCTCTGGACAGGGCTTGGAGCCCAGATCTGGGGGGCTGTGGGTTAGCCCAGGAAGAAGGGGCAGGGGCCTGATCACACCCTCCCAAACTCATACTTGGGGGCTGGGTCTCTATTCCTGCTAGAGTGGACCAGATTGTGGGGCGGGGCCCAACAATAACGGACAAGGACCGCACCAAAGGACCGGCAGAGACGGAGCTGCCCGAAGACCCCAGCATGATGGGACGGCTTGGGAAGGTGGAGAAACAGGTGGGAGAGGGTTGTGGGGGAATGGCCTCTGCTGTCTTCCGGTCTCATTTTGTTAGCCTGTGGCAGCTGAGCAGCCCAGGCATAAGGGTAGATGCAGCAGGAGGGGGGTCCCAGCTCTGTGAGACGTACGGGTTCCCTGTGAAATCCTACGGTCTGGCACTTTCCCTTCTCATAGTCAGTATCTGGAGACTGGAGGTGCCTAGAGGGGTAGCTGTTGGTCATGATTTGCGTTTGAGGATCCTTTGGCAGGGGTAACCACGGTGGAACTTCCAGAAATCGTGCATGGCCTACTTCCCCATCTTTTCCTTGCCCAATATTCATCCCCACTGGAAGTGGACCCTTAGGAGCTAGCTACCCCATGAGGCTTTTCTGTGTGCTGGCCTAAGCTCAGGCACACACTGACCAGTAAGCTCAGAGGTTGAGTTGTTGAAATCTGAGGTAGAGGAAGGGCAGCTCCTGGCTTCCTTCCTCTGCCCTGTCTTACCTGGGTATCCTGGGTCTTCTCAAAAGCCCAGCCCAGCAGCTGCCTTTCTTACAGGTCTTGTCCATGGAAAAGAAGCTAGACTTTCTGGTGAGCATCTACACACAGAGAATGGGCATCCCGCCAGCAGAGACAGAGGCCTATTTTGGGGCCAAGGAGCCTGAGCCGGCACCACCCTACCACAGCCCAGAGGACAGCCGCGAACATGCAGACAAGCACGGCTGTATCATTAAGATTGTCCGCTCCACCAGCTCTACGGGCCAGAGGAACTACGCGGCACCCCCAGCCATGCCCCCTGCCCAGTGTCCTCCATCCACCTCATGGCAGCAGAGCCACCAGCGCCACGGCACCTCCCCTGTGGGAGACCATGGCTCACTGGTACGCATCCCGCCACCCCCGGTACATGAGCGGTCTCTGTCTGCCTATAGTGGGGGCAACAGGGCCAGTACCGAGTTCCTGAGGCTGGAGGGCGCCCCGTCCTGCAGGCCCTCTGAGGCTGCCCTGCGGGATAGCGACACGTCCATCTCCATCCCATCAGTGGACCATGAGGAGCTGGAGCGCTCCTTCAGTGGCTTCAGTATCTCCCAGTCCAAGGAGAACCTGGATGCCCTGGGCAGCTGTTATGCGGCTGTGGCGCCGTGCGCCAAGGTCAGGCCCTACATCGCAGAGGGGGAGTCTGACACAGACTCAGACCTCTGCACACCATGCGGGCCCCCTCCACGCTCTGCCACTGGTGAGGGCCCCTTTGGAGATGTGGGTTGGGCAGGGCCCAGGAAGTGAGACTGGGCTCCTGGGCCCCATGCCACACCCACTCTGGTTCCTGGTTTGGAGCTGGCGTTCCATTCCAGGGCCTTTCCTAAAGCGACAGAATGACATAGAGATGTGTGGTTTGGGAGGATGCTCGTGGTTCTGGCGCTCAGGGTTCATGTGGAGTGGAGATGAGGCAGGACTCCTTGGCACATATGGTAATACTTTACAGAAGTTCTTTTCCAACCAGGAGGGGGAGGTTGAGGCCGGGCCCTGGAGGCCCCAGGAGCCACCTACGACAGCAAAGCTAGCCCTGCCTAGTCTTCTTGGGGGAACAGCTATTGCCCTGTGAGTGAGGAGGGACAGAGCAATGTTGGCACCTGTGAGTCGGGGTGTGGCTGGGAGCAAGGACATGGGAGGTAATGGTGAAGCAGACCTGTCTACTTCTGATGGCCAGTCCTAAGGCTCATGGGTCTCTCAGTTTAGGCTGTAAGCACAGGAGATGTAGTAGGTCCCTGGAAATGGCCCACTCTTACACCTGACTACTTATCCCTCGGGTCCCGACTGTCCCAGTAAAGCATTACCAGGCCCCCTGTTTGTGTGTGGCTGGGTAATGCCTCTCATCCCTGGGGCACCTAGTTGCAGAGCTGCCGGCCAGCATCTTCCTCCCTCTCCCAGGTTATGTGGCTCTTTCCGTGGAAGCCACCCTTTGATCAGGATTCTTTTCCTGTAGCTGAAGAAGGAGTGAGGCCTTAGAGACCAACCTGGAGCTTAGAATTGATCTGTGGATTCTCCTGGCTTCCACCTCTTGAGGGAGGACCCAACTCAGTGTTTTCTGAAAGGGTTTCATTGGCAGGTTCTGGCTGCCTCGTCCCTGGCACTGTAGCCCAGGAGGTATGAGTGGGCACTTCATAGCCTCTGCTCTTTCCTGGTGTGGCCAGCACTTCAAGAGAACCACCTGGTAAATAGACCAGCACTGCCCTTAGCCAGGGCACCCCCTTACCTTCTGCTGCCTACTTGACTCTACAGATTCAGGCAGGGCTGAACGACAAGGCATCATCAAACTGCCAGCTCTTTCTACATGAGAGCATGGCCTCTGAGCCTGGTCAAGGATCCTTCCCACAGGAGCTGGCCACCCACAGTCCTTTACCCACTGATGGGTCCCTTGGCTGTGGCCTCTGGGTGTTTGGGGAATTGGGAACACCTTGTCTCCTACTCTGGTGAGGAATAACCTCTGTCCTCTGGTATGAGTGGGCATCTTGGACCACCTGGTAGCCAGCTTTAGAGGGAGACAGTGTAGATGTTGTGGTCTCACAACATCTGGTCCAGAGGTTCCTGCATTGGGTGACAGCATTTTGGGGTGGGGTTCTCAGACCCTCTGAAACATCAGCTTTCCTGATCACTGAGGGCAAGTACTGTAGAGCTTGAGCCTGGGCAGAACTCTATGTACTTCTCCCACCTCTTAAAAAGTGTGCTCTGGCAGGGGCAGAGGCAGCTTGAGTGGGGGTTATATGCTCAGCAGAAGACCCCCAGTCCCTGAGGAGAGCTTGAGATCATGTGTTTGTCAGTGATCTGGGCATTAGGGAGCCATGTTTGCTGTCTGTTGTGGCTACATGTCCTCCAAGTCAGGGCCACTAGGATCTCACTTCAGGGTGCCTTTGCTAGGCTCCTAGCTGGGCATGGCAGGAGATGTAGACAGGAAGAATAGCTATACCTTCACTAGCTCTTCTCTTGGAGAGATGAGCCTGAGTCTGAGCCCTCCCCCTCTGTGTCAGGACAGGAAGACTCTAGAACAGAGGGACAAGACCATCTAACCCCGAACAAACCAGCAGCCAGAGTTCTCCTTCCCTAGACCTGGGCAGGCCATAACTGTCTCAGCTCTGGGAGATGTGGGAGAGAGGTTTGCATTCGTCCTACATGCTCCATACAGTGTGCCCTGCTTCTTGAGTGGCCCAGCATCCTGTCCCCAGAGCTGCCATCCATACAAGAGCCTGGGGTACCCTGAACTAGGGTTTTGTGGAATGACGAGGGTGGACAGACACCCCATTCCCAGCAACCGTGGCCACAAAGAATTTATCAGAAGCCCTTTTTCAGGTTACAGCAAGAGGGAGATGGGAAGGCCATGGCCTGCTCTTCCAGTGAGCACTGGTCAAGACTGCAGTTTTGGCTGCTTAGAGGAAGGAAGTGTATCTTACGGGGTGACATGGAAGCCCTGATGTGAGAGGTGACTGAGTCCTTGCTTGGGGGACCCAGATCCAGCAACAAATGTCTACTGCCTTGGCATCCCCACTCTCAGGGAAGCAGGACAGGATGGAGGCTGAAGGCTCTATTCACATGTGACCAAGTGTGGCTGAAGTGGCTCAAGGCCAGCAGCTGCCCCATGGCAAAATTTCCCTCAGAAAACATTTGTGGTCCCAACACACTCCCTCACATGCCCACCAGCAACATGCCCATACACTGGGCACATGTGTACATTCACATATGCACACACAAAAGCTTACAGATTATGCTTTCAATGAACACACAAGTATACACACACACACACAAGTGTACATACAACAGGTCTACTTTCAAACATGAATTCCTTGTTATACACGTGCACACAAAAGCTCACACATAGTTTTCCAGACCACATGTAATAGGTGTATGTACCTATGCACATGAACACACATAGGAACTTAGAGGCTCCATCATATTAATTCCGTATATGCATATACAGCAGGTATCCACTTTTATACTGAATATTCACATAGATGTGTAACCTGTATGTATAATGTATGCACACACGTAGGCTTTTCTCTCTCTCTCCACACACACACACACACACACACACACACACACACACACACACACACCTTTTTCTTTTTGGCTCTTCCTGATGGAAACTGCCTGGGGACGGTGTCACAAGAATTAATGACGAATGTTCTAAAATGTTGAGCCTGACTGCGGTGGGAGTTCTGGATGTTTAGGTTTTCTGGGCATCAATGGTAGAGAGTTTACCTGAAGCCCACTGAATTCCCACACTGCCCTCTCCCTGGACTAAATGGTGGCTGTCTGCAGGTAACAAGAGAGGCTGTGGCTAGGTCAGAGCGAGGGCAGCCCTAGTGCCTACTGAGGTCCAGATCAGTCTTGCTATTGGCCATTCCACAGTCCCCTCTTATACACATGCCTGCTTCATCATGCCAGGCTGTGATTGGTGTTTTTTGGCATCTTCCTTTCTTGTCCCTTTCAATTGTGGCCTCCAGATAGTGCACTCTTGTCTACCAGGGCCAGGACACCTGGGGTGAGGGCCCATCTGCTGTCTTCCCTGTGGTCTGGGCAGACCAAGTGTCCATTTGAGGCTATAAGCTAGCTCTTAGTTATGCTTTCACTTTTAGGGGGCCTCACTTGAAATCCCCATTGAGAAGCTGAGGGGTCACTGAACACTGCATGAACCTCCTTGGAGGAGGCTTTCTAAGCTGTAGTTTCCTCAGTTACTAGACATAGGGGATAGAGATCCAGGGCCATCTTCCATGTTTAATGCACTGGTTTAAGGTTCTCTCTCCCCTTGAGTTGATGGCTCCAGTTCAGAATGTGAAAAGGGGGGCCACCATGCCTTCTGCCACCCTATTGGGTTTATCCTGTATCAGGGGCACTGTGAAGAACACCCTTACTTTTTATGGAAAGAGCTGGGCCCAGAGATGTCTTCAGACCTTCCCCCAGACATGGGACAGGAATGCCTTTCTGAAACACTGGAGTGTGGGTCTTTCAGCCCTCTGGCTGTAAGCAGTGTAGAGGAGAGGCTAAGACACCATGGCTCACACCCCAATATCAGCAGGCAACACTTAAGTCTTTCTCTTTGAAATAAACATGGAAAACATGATTTGAACAGTGGGGCCCACTGGGCAGGGACTCAGAGGTGTCTGGTGCGCGTTGTATCCCAGCAGGGTAGGCTGGGGTTAGAGTGGAGAGTCTGTACAGGGCACCCTTGAAGCCCAGGCTCACATAGCTGGCATCAAACCCTGCTGCTCTGGTACAGAGAGACCAGCCTTCTGTTCCCTGACACCTCCCAGGGCATAGGATGTAGGGTGTGGGGAAAGAGGAAGCCTATCTGGATGCCCTAGGCTCCTACTGTGCCCCAGCTGAGCTAAGGAGGCAAGAGCTTCTCAGAGGAGGAATTATGATGGAAATGAAGATTTCTAGTGGAGATCCAGGTGCCTCTTCCTTCTGAGGAGTCCTAAACATGTGCCCAACACATGCCTGAGGGCCTAGGAGGCCCAGCATCCCTGAAAGTCAGTGAATTGGGGCCACCATTTTCTGAATTTTGCTTCTCCATGATGTGGTTCTGGCAGCAGTCCTTGGGGAGAACCAGGAAAGGGGGTGGAGAGTGAGGGTTACACTCTAGGGAGGAGACCCATCAAACATCTGGAGGTGCCTGGGTTTTAAGTTTGTTCAGAGCTCTGTCTTTGATGCTCCGCTTTGTGCCCTGGCTGACAGAGGATGCTGGGTCTGGCCCATGACCCACCCTGATGTTCCCCTGGTGTCTAAGCCTCTGTCAGAGGAGGGATAGTTCCCAGGCTGGTTTTTTTTTTCTGGGACTCTCGGGCAGGCGTGCACATCGCTAACACTGCACATCCAACCGGGATTGGCTTTTACAAAGTTGTTGCCTTAAAGTATGTTGAGGGAAATCCACCAAGGCCACCCCTGCCTCTGCCTGATACACACACACTGGACTCTGTCTCCAGGTCCTGCCACTGGAGAGGAGTGCTGGCATGATGGGCTGCCACTAGTGGTCCCACATGGAGGGGCTCAAAGCTGTGATCCCCTTGACATCATCCATCTGCCTGGGATGGCTCCATACACAGTGCAGCGCACCCTGCGATTCCAGTCCACACCTGCCCATTGCAGTCTTGTCCCCCGGCCGCAGCTGCGGCTGCAGCTTTCCCCATCTGCGCTGTTGCCTTTGGCTGTCTTTGCACTTTTGTTCATGCTCCAAAGAATATTTCATAATGCCTTCATACTGACATGCACCCTAACCATTTTGTACATGCCCTTGGGCCACAGCTACTGGCCTTCTCCTTTTGGCCAGCGTGCTGCCACCCGCGCACAACGCTGTCTTCTAGGGACAGATGCCCAGGGAATGAACTCTAGTTTTCTAACGGACTAGCTGAAATGCTAACTTACCCGACATGAACAGGATGTCTGTGCTGTGTGGGCGGGCCAACGTGAGCTCGCAGGGAACTTTGGGGCAGAATGCTACAGCAGGGATGCATGTGGATGGTTCTGGAAAGTTTTGCTGCCACAGGGCTGAGTTCAGATGCCCAGTGGACCTGTGCACTTAGTAAAACACAGTGATTCAACCTGGACTGCCTGGCCTCTTTATTTGCATGTGTCTCCTGAAAGTTGGTATAAGAGCTGGGGACCTGGCTGGGGAGGCACAGCCACTCAGCTCTTCAACTTGGGGACTCTCAAGACCCAGGCTCTGTATTTCCTAGGGCTGTTATCAGAGTTGTTAGGGTCAAAGGTTGGGTCCTTTTAGTCCTAACAGCCTAGGGTCAAAAGGCCAGTCAGGAGGAAATAGAAGCAGAAAGATTTATTTAGTGTGGCTGCATTATTTAGTGTGGGAAGATAAAGCTATTCCAGTTCCATTTTGCCACTAGGCTTAAGTTTAAATAGGAGCAAGAGGTATGTATAACTAAACAGTTTTAGTCAAAGTGTGTCCCCGCCCATCATTGTCAGCTCTAGTTTCTCCTGCAAGATGGTCTGACAAGTTGTCATAACTATGTGAAATCTTTTCCCTCCTCTGGCTGGTACCAGGCTTCAGGCTTTTCCTTCTTTTAGCATCCTGAAGGAAATTCCAGTTGCCAGGGGTCCATTGTTTCAATGGCCGTATGGCCAAAGGGAAAGAAGGGTGAAGGTGTCTCTTTAGAGCATCCTCATCATTCTACCAGGAGAATTACAGGGGCACCTTCAAGTAGCCATAAACTTGAGGCTGTGAGACACCAGACATCCACTCTGGAACAAATTAGACTCTGCACAAGCCCTCACCCTCAGTGTAGTGCTCAATTTTGTCAGGACAGAAGGATCCTGGGTCAACAGGTGCTCCTGGCTTGGGCCATCACATCCTTATATACTTCAACGGTGAACTGATTCTCAGAGTGACCACCTGGACCAGCGGAGACCTATTTGGTCAAGCTTGGCTTGTTGCTGGTGCACAGCCTGGGCGCTGATGTCATTCTGGCTGCTGTCCTGTCCTTGGTGCCCGCCTTTCGCATCTCACCCCCCTCCACTGGCTCCTGCATTAGACCCCTGGCTGTCTATCCTCTGGCTACCCTGAACCTCAGCAAGGTGAGGTGCAGTGTAGGTGGGCACCCACACAGTCAGTCTCTCCACTGCCTGAAGGTTGGTGGAGTGTGGCTTTGGTGGGCTCTGGCCTGTAAGTTGGGGTTTTGCTGCTCTGTCTTCTGAAGTTACCCCACAGGTCCTCTCCGGACCTCTTGGGGGGGGCAGCTGAGCAGGAAGAGCAGCTGGACTTGGCTTGGTAGCTCCCCAAGGCAGTGCCTGGCCCTAGACAGGTGCCCAGAGCTGTTGGCATGGCTGGACAAGACATCCTACTTCTGCTGTGCAGCATGGTGTCCAGGAGGGGCTCACGACAGCTCTTGAGAGTCCGTAGGGTCATATGTTTCATATAGGCATTGTGTGATTACTGAGTCGATGCCAGTGCAGCCAGCCCTCTGTTTCTGGGACATTATAATCAGTCTGAGTTTGGGAACAGTTGAGTGGCCTAATTCATTTGGCTTCCACCTTTCTGGGCATAGCCAGTGTCCTGTGCTCCTCCTTCTGGCCATGATCACCCTTGTCTGCTTCATTTCTATGAGCCTAGAGGTCTGTGTGGGATTAGAATAGGAGTTAGGAGTTGGGTGTGGTAAACAGAGAAGCCCTGAATAACAAGTGAGACTTGTTCATAGGTAAAACCACCCCAGTGTATGGGGATCTGCCGTCTTGTTGCTTTTCTTTGCATGACTCCCTCCTTTAGGGTACCACCTGCCCTAATATAACCACTGTAGTTAGGCCATTACATTTTAAAACATTTTTAAAAATTTATTTGACCACTTATAGACTAACCCCAGACCCCTCCCTCCTTTCCTCCCAGTCCTGCCCTCATGCCCTGTCCTCCCCATTACTCCTGTGTTTCTTCTCAGGAAAGGGGCAGCCCCTAAGGGGTACCAACCCACCTTGGCATGTCGTTATAGCTGGACTAAGTGTATCTTCTTCCACTGAGGCCAAACAAGGCAGCTTAGCTAGGGGAAAGGGATCCAAAGGCAGGCAGCAGAGTCAGAGACAGCCCCTACTCCCATTGTTAGGGGACCCACCTGATGACCAGGCTACACATCTGCTACATATGTGTAGGGGCTCTAGGTCCAGCCCGAGCAAGCTCTTTGGTTGTTGGTTCAGTCTCTGTGAGCCTCCATGGGCCAAGGTTAGTTTAATCTGCAGGTCTTCTTGTGGTATTCTTGACCTCTCTGGCTCCCTCAACCCTTCTTCCCACTCTTCCTCAAAACTCTCTGAGTAAGCTGGGTGTGATGGTACACATGTATAATCCCAGCACTCGGGGAGAAGGAGGCAGATGGGTCTCTGTGAGTTCAAGGCCAGCTTGGTCTACAAAGCGAGTCCAGGACAGCCAAGGCTATACAAAGAAACCCTGTCTCAAAAAAAGAAAAACAAAACAAAGAAAAACAAAACCCTCCCTGAGCGTGACCTATTGTCTGGCTGTGGATCTCTGCATCTGTTTCCATCAGGCGCTTGATGAAGCCTCTCAGTTATACTAGGCTCCTGCCTGCAAGCATAGCAGAGTATCATCAATAGTGTCAGGAGGTGGCTCTCTCCCATGGGGTGGGTCTCAAGTTGGGCCAGTCATTGGCTTGCCATTCCCTCAATCTCTGCTCCATCTTTATCCCTACACATCTTGTAGGTGAGACAAATTTGGGGTTGAAGGTTGTATGGGTAAGTTGGTGTTGCCCACCCTCTTCTGGACATCCCACCCGGCTACAGGAGGTGGTTAACTTCAGGCTCCTTAACCCTCACTGCTAGGAATCTCAGCTAGAATCACCCCATAGACTCTCGGGAGTCCATTACATTTTCATTGCATCCAGAAGATTGGGAAGTGGAATCTTCCTTCTTCTGTACCAAGTACCTGGTTAGAAGAAGAAGAAGAAGAAGAAGAAGAAGAAGAAGAAGAAGAAGAAGGCCATTATTAAGAGAATGGGTAAAGATGACTGCAGCTCACCAAATGTGTGTCTTTTTTGGGCGCACCAGACCAATACATCAGAGCCACATGGTCTTGGGTTAGACACTGGCCAGTCAGCTAGTGGCCATAGACAGAGCAGAGCATAAAATGTGGTTTCCTCAGGTTAGGGACACATCTACCCCAGGCTCTCTCTGCAACCTGTTCTGGCCATGGTGTCCTGACCAGTTTTTCTGTGGTTTGCCAATCAGCAACATCTATCACTCTATCTCATAGAAAGGAAAACTGGGGTATGGGAGCCTGAGAGTCTCTGGTCAGCAGGCAAATGCATTCTGCCAAGTTCCTTCTAGGATGGTCATGCTGTAGACAATCTGGGAGTATCTCCTAGCCTCACTCTCACCAGGCAGCCACACCCTAGTCTCTTATGGGTCCCTTAGATAGCTAAAGCCCGATAGGGTTTAGTGGCCTGGTGGTGGTTATGAGTAAGAAGCAGGTACCTAGACTGAGCCTGGGGCTGTATCATATGATGGATCCCATGGACAGGTGCGTAGGCATACTTTTTATCTACTTTATTTAGGTTTCTTATGTCTATACCTCCTTTATCCACCCCAATCCCTTCTAACACCCCAACACCAGGT